ATCAACACAACTAAGTTATTTATTTGTTTCAACTTAGATTATACTATCTTTTTAAACTTACCTTGTTATAATAAGTACTTTTTCAATCCTAGAATGAATAAAACTTAACTAAAAGATACAATAAATTATTGTTATTATTTTAAATTTCAAATTAAACCAATTTAATCACTTTTTAGGTTTTAAACTACTTTCATTAACAAAGTTCTATATTAATTTTGATATAAATCATTAAAAACAATATTATATAAATATTTTTAAGTTTTTTTTTTATATTTAAAAAATTAACACATATGATTTAAATTGTTTCTTCTTTAGATTCGTTTTTTTTAATAAAGATTATCTTTAGTTATTTTTCTTCATTTATTAAGGTTTATTGATTCCTTTGTTTAAATTAATTTATAACTTTAATATTTTCAGGTGATATTTTCTTTAATTTGTTTCCTTTAAGAAATATTTTGATAACTATTTGAAAAGAATTAACTAACAGTCTTATTATAAATTGTATTGTTGTTAAATTAAATTACCCCATAATCTGAAAATAGTTTATCCATAAAAAAGAATAAACGTTTTTGTTATATATAACAATTTAAAATATTTTTGTTCCTAGTTTAATGTTTTATTGAAGAGAAATAACAATGAACTTAATTATTAATTAATTGAAGCTTGTTGATCACAGAACTTAGGTTCATTTTTCTTAGTTTTTCTAGTACTTTTTCTTCTTCATAGTGTTCAGAATGACAATTAATTGAATTTGAATATTTCTCAAGACATGACCCTTTGACAATCTCTTTGGCTAGTTTGATTGCCTTTTTTTCTAAACTTAACAATTCTTTTTCTTTTTGGTGTTGTATTTTTTCTTCATTTTTTTGGAGTTGGTTTATAATTATTTCTTTTTTAAGAGGATATAAAATGTTATGTTTTAAAGAATTTTGGATTTGTCTATTAGTGTCATAGTGTTTGTTTAACTCCAGTATTGATTCATTATTTTTATCAATAGTTTCTTGTAGTTCTTTGATAGAAGTAATACTTTCTTCACTATGGTATGAATATTCTTCCATATCAGAAATATTGTTCTTCTCTATTAGTTTAGTCTTACAATAAAAATATAATCTTATTTTTCGTTTTTGTGTATTTTGAGTTTTTTCTAATGAGATTGTGTTTGTTAATTATAAAGGTACATTCAAGTTAAGAAAAATACTGATAATTACAGATTCATAAAGAAATACTTCAGTGATAATTTTTTTTATCAATTATTTGTGATTACTTCATTACTATTTATCATTAATCATTTTTTTTATGAAAGTTTATTCTTTTAGTGGATGGTTTTTATTAAATTTTTCATTGAATATTAGAAGAATAACCATTATATAAAATATTTTTGATAAAATAAATAGATTCTACAAATACAATAAGAATTTATGTGTTATTTCTTATATATATATAATATTAGTTTATTATTTAATAATAAAAAGAAAACAAGTTTTTCCTTTATTACCGTTGGTTGAAATTTTTATTTTTAACACTACGATAGACTCAAAATGAAAAGAATAATATTATATTAGGTAGTTAATAGAAAATATCTGTGGATAATTTTTAAAG